TTATTGATAGTTGCTTATTAAAAATTTTTAGTTTTTAAAAAAATTATCACCGCCATTACTTTCGCCGGAGACTGTATATAACAATAATAATAAATAATAATTAAGAAAAAACTAACAACAATAGTTAATTATTTAATAATAAAAAAATTAATGATACTAACCATTTATCTGTTCAAGCAACAGGCGTTGCTTCTGAATAAGCCCTTTCAAACAATTTCATCTCAAATGAACAAGTTGGAGTCGCACACGGCTAGAGCGATTTTCTGTGGATTTAAAGTAAAATAATGCTTTAATAAATAAATTTTTATACATTAGTATTCAAACGACTATCAAACCAGTCTTTAACCGGTACTTGTTCTTCCAAAAAAATACCGGACCATCTCAACCTTTCCCGTAATGCAATTAACAAATATTTTTTAGAGATAATGTTTCGCATGTGCCTTCACGTGTATTAGGATCAACAAGCTTTTGAAATCAATAAATATTTGTCAAGTGAGAATAGTTTATCATTTTATTTTACTGCATAAATAAAAAATGGTATTTTTTTATACAAGTATATTTGAATCAATAAACTGAAAATAGACTTATTATTTCATTTTGTAATAAACTGGTATTTTTTATATTTATAAATTATCTATTATATACTATGCTAAAAAGTATTTTTGATCCGGGTCCTGTGGAAAGGCGCCCGTGAGAGTCCGGGAATTATGCTATGTAACATCAATTTTCCACTTCTTTAGACCATTTGACGCAAAAGATTTAATCTTTTATACTTATCTATGACGGTTTTATTCGCTTCAAGCTATTAATGTCAAATGAAAGAATATATAGTAAACCCAGGAAGGAAGGAAAGAATCTTTTCATTGCCACATATATTTATCCTGACACAAACATATTGTTAAGAATTAACAATTATTGTTTAATCATATAATACTAATATTAATTAATATCAAAAAAGAGTTAGATTTGTTATATTGCTTAATTAAAAAAATCAATCGAGTCTTTGCATCTTTGTATTCTCAACTATATAAACAGCCTCTTCTTAAATAAAAAAGAATCGGGGAGTAGTGCATAGCGTGGCAAAAGCAATTTCAAAGAACTGAATATTTTCCCATGCAATGCAAAATTGCTTAATTGGTAATGAAAAAAAAAGTGAACGTAAAATCAGTTAATCATATTAAGAATTTGATTTTGCAAAATCTGATACAGAAATTTTTTTCGTTAATTAATGGTTTTGAGGACTAGGAAAAAAAGATTTCTAAAAACGCATCAATTAAAAATCATGTCTAGTTATTGCGTGTAATTAATGTATTTTGGTGACTGATACATGAGATTTGGATAAAAGAAAATAAAAAAAGGTAATCGGGTTTTCATGGATCACAAATTTTAATTATATAATGATTTCCTCTATTACTAACTCTACAAATTATAAGAAACGAAACCTGTACAAAAACCTGCGAAATTTATTTTCGTTACACAGAGTCTCGATTAATTGAAGGTTCAGCCAGAACGGTCTAATAACAAAACTATAACAGATAATATATCTTTCTTTACTAACGGGATTTCTCGATATAACGGTTTTTTGGAATTTACCGTGTAATAAAAATAAATAAATTTAAAGTGGAGTTTTTTTTGGGCGGCTTAGGAATAGGAATAGGAATAGTACAGATATACAGATGTTAAGAGAAAAACTGCGGTGACAAAAAATTGCATACACATACAAACTTGATAAGTCGGCCCGCAGTAATCAATTGTTTAAAGTACTCGCTAATATAAATTATGCGGCCGACTTATCAAGTTTGTATGTGTAATTAAAAAAAAATTTAGGCCAATTTTCTGTAAATCTTTTTTTAACTTTGCTAAATTTTAACACACATACAAAAAATTATACCGGCCTGTAACAAAAGTCCCAGAGATTATGTATATAAAATTCCATACTTTGATTTTCTAGAATTTCGTCATTTGTAAATAAAAGAAATTTGATTATTTTGAAAAATCAATTCAATGCGTAAATTTCTTTAATAATTGCTCTAAGCCTACATAACAATATGCTTCAAAATTTTTATATATTATAATCTAAGATCCTCCGATTCTCTGGTATAATTTTTATTATATAGCTGGCTACTTTTTCATTAAAAACAATATTTTACAAACCGCCGTTTTTTTTTCTTAACACACCGTACTAGTACATACATATAATCAACTCATTTTTAATCACCAATCCGAAGAAATTTTCATTCAGAATAAGTATTCGAATTTTACTATGGGAAATTTCATTTCATGCGCATTTTATGCAGTGCTTTTTTTTACTAAAAAAAATTTATTGTATCTATAAAAATTAAAAATAAGTCTATAACTACTCTATTCTTCATTCTTTCTATCCAAATGCTTACATCATCATTACCACTTCACCATGATGATATCAATTTGTATTTGGAGGATAATTTAGATTGTAGAATGGAATCATATCAGCCGATTTGGTTTTTTGGGCCTTTTTTCAAACCTTATGTCTTATTGTGTCTCGATGTTAAACATGAGTATTTTTAATGTGTAAACCGGTCAGTAGAATGATAATTAACCTAAAAAAACTAATTTACTATTCAACAGCCCGTCAAACCAATGGCCACTACCTCAAAACCAATGGTTTTGCTAGTATAAAGTATTCATAACGTTATGATCATACCGTATTGAATTTTGGGGATCAAACAAAATCAGCGCATATGTTTATACAGAGCGTCACATTTCTTTAATATTAAATGTGCTCATTTTACACCACCAATAGCTTGATTGAATTCATAACTATTACAATATTTATATCTGGCTCTATTTTTTTTTTTAATCATTATTAATTCCACCTAATTTGATAAAATGAGACCAAATATTTGATTTTGTCATTTCTTAAAAGCATTACCTTTATTACGGTGATGATGATTATGAATAAAAATTTAAATATGTCATACTTTTATTTTAACGTACTTATTAATCTTCATAAATTATTATATAATTAGTAAACCTTTTCTTTTTGGTGCAATTTTGGACCTTGTGAAATTTGTAATTTCAGCAGTTATGAAAACACTACCTTCCGGAAGTTAAATGAAGGATTCCTTGCAAAAAATTTTGTCCAACGAAAATAACAGAGAATTAATGGTCTTGTAGTATATATGATTTGAATGGTAAGAATAATAGGAAAATACATGAAGAAAATTTTTGTTTAAAATTCACCATTACATGAAAAAAAAAAAGGAAATTTTTTTACATAAAGTTGAATATAATGAATTAATAAATAAGTCATCAGAAAACACTCAACTTAAGGCAAGTAACTATCTGACTTGTACAATGTGATTAAGAGAAAATTATTTACATATCAAACTTATTTTAATATTATTGTTTATTTATTTTTAAAAGAAACAATTTTTAATAATAATTATTATTAGGAATAGTTTGGTATTGATTTAATTATTTGAGTGCTAATTGTTACTAGAGAGAAACCTTTTGAAAGTACATTAATTCAGTTCATTTATACATTAACTCGTACGTATTACTCCATTTAACTATATTAAAGAACGTCGCGTCGTTAATATTAAATATGCAATAGTGTATTAGTATAGTGCAAGTCACTTAACCCCACAACGTTCTGTGCCACGCCGCCAATTTTGAGAAAAAATTTCCAATCAAAAATGCAGTAAAAATATTACAGTCGCATGATTTTTGAAAATTGTCAAGTGCTAAATAAATATATTAAAATTTTTCTTTTACATTTATTCCTATATATACATATGTAAATGATGATTAGAACAATAAACAACAACAATAATGATTATAGTGATGTTATTAAATATTAGTTAAAATAAAAGAGAAATTTATATAAACTATTGAATGATTGATAAAACCTTCGTTAGTATATTTTGTTCATAGATCTTGCTTGTCCTTAAAGCTTACTTCGATTACTCCTACACAAACTATTAAATAATTGATAAACGTTCATTAGAATATTTTGCAAATTGCATATTTCTTTGATTAATGCAATATTCTATTTATTAGATTTAAAATAAATGAACTTAGCTGTTCATTGTATTTTTTTAATAATAAGGATAATTTTCTTCCCGTTCATCTGGGAAATTCACGTGACAAAAGATCTGCAATATAAGGAAATTTTTCAAATTTTTATTTTGTTTCAATTCATCTATTTTTGATATTAACTTTTTTGTGTGTAACACGTTATTTAGGGCTAAACATATATAGTAAATTCAATAAACTCGTGCAACTTTGAAGCTCAAATTCTCCACAACAACATGAGATGAAATCGTGATTTTGTAGATTTCAAATACACGATTTATTTTGGGGTGCTGCATTTGTATTTTTGGAGAATTTGAAAATCTACACGACCAATTAAAAGTTGCGGGACTTAGTGACTTGCATCATATTAGCTTTATGTTAAGGCGCAGTCGAATTTCGAACATAAGTGTAACACCCCTTTATTATTATGACATGTGTAACCCCCTTTATGATGACACTGTCAAAATACTTTTGGCTGCATGTATTAAATGAATTATAATTAGTAGTATTAAAGGCAAATTAATTGACAAATAGTTGTCAAGGATTCTTTCATGATAAGCCAGGTGTAGCAATTAATTGTTTAAAGTACTTGAAATAATAATATAAATAACTAAATGACATATCGAGTATATAACTATATTGCTGATCACAGAACTTTATGAACCCAAAAAATTATTTATTTAACCAGTTAATTAAAACTTTCTAAAAGATAAATATTAAAAATAAAAAAAGCATGTGAATTTATACTAATTTAAATAATTTTCTATGTTGTATGTTCAAGATAATCTTTTTTAACTCTTTTATATAACAGAATAGATAATAAAAAAATACTAGTCATACATCCAAGGGCACTAAAATAAAAGGTTGTATTATAACAAGCGTAACCGTGACAATCATCTTTGTGTAGATCATAATTGAAGCCGAAAAGTAGATTGAACAGCTGACCTCCGATTGCCGGAAACTATAATTTGTTTTAATATTGAGAAAATTAGGGGTGGGAGAATTTGATAATTAAGATAGGAGAAAAATATGAATTGATTGATTGACTTACAATTGATATTATACCCCTACAAACATTAAAATATTTATTACTAATATTATTTTGAATTTTCAATTCATCACAAAATTTAAAAAACTCTTACCAATTCAATCCGAAATTTTTATTACCAAACCATTCGGAAACGATGGTTGGACGAACACCAAACAAATTTCCAAATCC